AAAAAAGAATTTAAAATAGGAATCTACTTTCCAAATACTCTGTAGTTTCCCAACTGACAGTCATGAAGAGGTTGGAGACATTTCATTTTGCTCAGAAATCCTTATTCTATCAAAAGTGTCTGTTTCTCAACAGTGTTTGGTCGAATTCAGCAAACTGGATATTGAAGTCTTGATTTTATAAAAGTTCTTCCATAAACAATCTTGATGAAGACTTTAGACTAAACGGGTCTGATGAAAAACCTTTTCAACTACTCAAATTTTGTTTTTTTGCACATTCTTTCGAGCTATTTTCGATGAGGAAATAACTCGAGAATACAACTGTATCAAACTTTGGCCCCGCACTATAAAGTTTTGAGAGTGGGTGGGTGTAGATGAGAAAGTGAACAGTGGTTGCTTGAAACATCCTCATCCTTCATCCTCATTAATTGTTGATGACTCTACATCTCATGTTCTGCACTATCTACTTTTGAAGTATCCTCTACAATATTTGAATTATTCAATGTCCGTATTAATTTTTCTATAAACTGGAAATATTCTAAAAATTTCGAGACACTTCCCAAAACGTTACTGTATTTCATCAGATTTGAATTGACTTTACAAGGATTCACCGTACTCCTGGAATATTCATGACACCTGATACGACTTTTTTTTATAGATTTGATCAGACTTTCAAAGACGGCTGAACTTCATGAGATTATAGAAGCGAAGTCTCTGCTATTCCCCCCTTGGTTTTAGTACAAAACTCAAATTCGATTCAGTTACTTGAGGATTCATTATGTAGCACTACAAGGCCTTCACGACGTCTGATTAGTGATATACTGCCAGAATTTAAAAATTCGATTGATAAAAAAACTTTACCAAAATAGCCATGAGCCAAAAAAAGACGATGCCCACCACACCAAACACAATTAACCAATTGGCTGGTCTTGAATAGTCGGGACACTTAGGAAGGTCATTGACACCCACAATCAGCGCTGCCAAAGGAAGACTCGAGATAAGAATTAAGATGAGAGCGGGAATCATAAAGAATATATTATTGGTAAAACGTTGCCAACACGCTCCAGCTATGCGAGACAAGTTTAGATTGGTATTTTGTTGAAATGATTCGGAATTGACGACTCGGTGATTCACAGTGGGTAACTGAATTACTGGTTCTGAGGCGTACGGTGGTGGAGGATCCATCGTACCATAGTGAGGGGGGAAATGGATGGCTACATCGTAGGAAGGTAGATCATCAATCTAAGTTTGCCGAAAAATTTGTGTAAACATTATAATAAAAGAAACACACATGACACATACCTTCGGATTCATCACAAGTTTGTTCTATATGAAAGTAAATGAATGAAGTCAGATAATGAGTAAGAATATGCGGGCAAAATGAAATAAGTAGTCGATTGGAATGGAAAGAAAAATATTTGAAATATTATTCCAAGCTCAGTAGGTAGTATTACTCATTTCTCTTTCTTCTTTTGAAATATCGAGCGAAAAAAGAAACAGTCGAAAAAGATTTTTGTTTGTTTTTATTCTGTTCTGTTACACACGTGCGAACAGAACAGAAGGTGAGGGTTTAATGAGTATGAGCTGATGTTGCCACCATTATATTCTATAACTACATCCGAAAAAATTGGTTTGTTATTGAACTTTAAATGTTTTGCATTTTTGCACCGAACAATTTTTGTTCAGAACTTTTTAATTTCAGCAAATTTCACATAGTTTCGTTATTTTCCAACAAAACTCTTCAAAAAGTTTCATAAATCGGATGCGAGTTCTGTGTATCATGTGTTAAAACCAAGGAGAAAAGTGCAGAAGGGTGAATGGTTGTGGGTGTGGCTATAGATGAAAACAGGACCCACAGCCACAGCCACACCTTGAATTGGAAACAGATACTTTTTGTCCATGAGAGATTATAAAAAGTTGTAACACGTAATTTTCGTGCTTCTCGTTCGTCCTCCTTCATCTCGAACAGAAATACATGTAACAATTGAGACGATATATGTATCTGTACTATTACTCATGCTCTCTCTAACAAAAAACGATTGAACAGTCTAGGATGTTCCTATGTGGTATAAGAGGACAAAGAAAATTAATGCAAAACTTTTGCCCCACTCGTTATTTCTTAAATTTTGGAAATCGTCTTAGCCGACGTGAAACTAGTTAGGGGAGTTTAGTCTCACCTCTTCACTCCTGCTTCGCCGAAATTGTCAATTTTTTCTTCGAACTTAATTTGAATCATTTGTCGAACAGAAATTTTTCGTCCAAACTGCAACTTACGCATCCGAACAGAGTTTAAAGGTTTTTTTTATGCAGGAACTTTTTACCATTTTCAATTTCGTTCTATATCTATGACCCATAAAAAATGCATTGACTTTTTGCAAGATAGAGCTGAGTTATATACGAAATATCGGGCATTACGTAATTACAGAAAATAGCCGCCATTTTTAGAAGTGTTAACAAGTTCGTATATTTTTACAAAATGGAACGAGATGTAAATAAATAGTAAACATGAAAGTTGCGCAGTTTTGATGGGCTTTCAGACTATCAGGTCGTTATTTTCATAGCAATGACATTACAGAAAAATAACTTATGAACATCGCCGTTATGGAATTTCGTTATTGTTTGACTTTCAATGAGGAAGAATATTGAGGGTGAGGACGGATATGGGTGAAGAGGAGTTTCGCTTTTTCACCTCACCCATACCGTCATTCATACTCTTTATGACAAAACAGTTTCGAAAAGATATACTTCAAAAAACTATAGTACGGAAAAAATATTCAACATCATATTTAGTCTTCTTCACCTTCACCGTCTTCATCTTCGTTTGCTTCATGAGATTCTTCTTCATCATCGTCACCACCGTCCTCCTTTTCACTATTGTCATCGTCGTTGTCTTCTTCTTCGCCATTAGGTGTAATCCAACCCAAAACTATTTGTGGCAAACGTTCACGAAAACTTTTTTTAAAATCATTGGCCACGTCACTGAGTTCTTTCGATCCCTGAAATGTATTGTCGGTCTCTACAGTAAACGTGTGCAAATATTTCAATTGTAAAAGATCTTTATCACCATCATGCTCATATAGATAACTTGCTGCATTCTCAAGATCGTAACGATTAATTAATAATTCACTTAGATTTGGAAATATGGAGAATAATTGTTTCAAATCCTCATAATGTTTCCAATCATAATACTGATCGTGAAATTTTAAAATTTTGACAGTAGGTAAACATATATCAGCTGCAAATGAGAAATGTCGTCGTTCAATTTAGATATGCAATAGCACCAAACCTTGCATCTGTATATTGATGCCAGCCCGTCAGGTACTCAGACAGTTTGCACTGGTATATTAAAGTTTTTCAACTTATTTCATCGCCCTATTATTTAAAATACGTACAATACGTCAAATCTCTGAAATGAGTTTTTCGAAAATATATTTTTTGGGCAAGAAATGATTGCTTTCAACGTTTCTTCGTAAAGATGTGAATTGTTCTCGATCATACTAAGTGAGTAAACGCAAAGAAACTGAATTTCTTACAAAAAAAAAGGTCCATTAACTGAACTCGGCAGAGCAATTGATATCTAGTAAAAATTGACCTTTATATTCCTGTAGAGATCAATGACTTTTTTCTTTAAAAAAGATCAAATTTTAGACTCTTACTCTCGTATGCAGATTCTAGACAATCCACATGTGTCAGTAGAAACGTTGAAAAAAAATCATTGTGTCCAAAAAAATATATTTACCAGAAAAATTTTTCATGCACCAGTACAGGCTGTTTGAGTATTAGTCGCGTCTGATCACTACACGATTTGGTACGAGCATATCAGTAAAAGGTTTCGCACTATTGCATACCTAGTTCAGTCGGCGGCAACATTAAACGATGATCTTCGTTAATATTACACAATGATAAACATGTTATTCTCTTAAAATATGTTTCAACAAACTTTAGTATAGACAAAGTCTTATCAGTTTGATCTATCACAATGTTAAGAGATCGAACCTTATGAAATAAATTCGACGACAGCGGTACTGTTGTCTTTAAATAGCTAAAATTTGAACTCATAAGTGCCGGTTCAAAATGTGTAAAAGCGAACGGTAATGAGAAAAGACAAGAATATGAAGAATAATGACCTTGATAGTTCCTTCCGCCAACCTAAAAATAGAAATGTACAAAAGAAAAATAAGGTTGACAGTGTTGCTAGAGTGAACGTAAGAAGATTTGATCAAGGAGTGAAAAGCAGACAAGGACTGTGCACACGAACGAATAATACGAAGAAGTGAACTATAATTAGAGTAACTTCGAGAAGATAGGAAGAGACAATGGCAGATGCTACATAAGAATTTCAGTTATCTGTCATTCTCATTCTTTTTCATTCATTCAAAGAAGTAGAGATGTATGGTATCGTAGCTTGGACTTTTGTTTCTTCAGAACTCTAGTAGAATCTGCAGCGCACCGACAAATAACGATGTATGTAAAGTGCTGGACAATCGTTTAAGGCTTCTTTTTTGCTATTGCAATATCTTTTGCAAAAACTGTCTTGGCGGTTCAATGCAAACTGCATTAAAATTAAATCACTTAATGCAGTTTTCTACGCTCTTTCTTTTGGTATATAGTGTATTTGAGTAAAACTTGATTTGATAGTAGAATTTGACATCTTTTCGTTCTGGAGTGGTTTCTGCTAAAATTCTACATTGATGGTACACGAAGACTCAAAATTCGAAGATTTTGGAGTATTTATAAAACACGCGATGATCGACGATGATCTCTAAACCAAGAACTGATACCATGGGTAGATCGAGCTCGTCGAGCTGACTCTACGAAAAACCCATGATAACCCATATCTTTTGCCAGAAAAATAGTCCTCTGCGAGTTAGGTACATACAAAAAATATTAGCTTTATATCTTGAAGCCTAA